AATCGTGTATACAACAGTATCCTCTAATGCTCCTGATGATATAATTTCAATAAAAAAAGAAACAATAATTATGTTATTGTTGTATTAACAGTTTATTAACTATTTGAACTAAATGCGTAAAGTATTCGTCACCGCGAGCTCTATCTACATCGAACGGATGACGTAAACTATTATCAGCTATCAAAAAAAATCGTAACGGAGCTCGTGTATCACAAAAATATAATCATGCAAATCGTTTGTAACTAATTATGAGGGCGATCACTTCGTTAGGGCGAGTCGCACGAGTGGCACGAGGCGAGGCCTCCACGTGTAATGTTTTTCTGACCTCCGGCGCGGCACGGCGGGCCCTCGCTACCAGTTTTTCCACCTGGCACGTGTAGGCGGCGGAAGTGCGCGCGGCCTTGGAGCCCCGCACGGGACCCGATGGGAAAAAATCTATACGAGTAGGGGGCGGGCGGCGGGGGTGGGCGCGCCCTGCACTCGCCACCACACGACACTATACATTGTGCCCGCTACACAATGACGCCGCGTCACTACGGGTGCTGGCAGAGTTGTGCTACTGACTCTACGTAAAAACTAAATATTATACGTACATACGCCTTTTTAGAAATTCACAATACCAATGTCAAGCGCTTTACAAACGTAAATCGCATCTGCTGAATTAAAGAAGTAACAAAAAAATATTATATAAAAGGTTTTAAGTCTATTAACAAATACGTCTAATTAATGTAATTAATATACGATGTAATCGTGTGTAACATAATGAAAACATTTGACAAAGCCATTGTTTGTGTGAGAGTTCAAATATTATGAAGGTTCAATCAACTTTCGGGACGGGTATGAATAAGAGCGTAGTATCCGTCGGATTTTACAAAGGATGGCTATATGGGGTACTCGCGAGTGTGAGAAGGACGGCGTATAGCCTAGTTTCAGGGCTTCTAGGTCACGCGTTGCTTACACATGAAATGTTCTGTCGCTTCATGTTTACCAACAAACGCGTTCCAATCGTAAAGAGGCGTAATTGTACGATAGCGCGCATGCGAAATGTAACTTTACAAGAATAACAAGAAGTTTGTAAATCGAATTTAAATAGTTTAAAATGACAGAATTTACTTGTCCTCCTTAAACCTTTTGATATCTATTCTAAGGTTAGCATAAATCACGTGTCGATATCTGAACATTTCTACGCAGTAGTTTCTTGGTGCCGTATATGTGCACATTATCAGTTTTTTCATGCACCCCTCTTATTTTAATGTCGCAATCAGTGTTAATAATCATAATAATTTATAGATTGTGTTGCATCTTCATTCGGAGTGCTATATTAATTTAAATAAATACCAATTTCGATAGTTTTATGACATAAAATTGATGTTCATATACCGGTTGCTTTTGCCGCGATCTTTGCAACGTGCTATGCTTACGTCACAGTTACCTAGGCGTTGTGTTATACCTAGATGCTATACCAATGTTAGTTCTAGTGCGCAATCTATTCTCGGACCTGAGGCAACGCTAACCGGTTAAGATGCGCTGCGCCGGCGCACGCGCAGGTTAGTTGTCTTTGACGACCACTGCCCGTCATCACGAAATCTAATAACAATTCTGTTGTTATGCGAATTATTATCAACTTGTATAAACAATTAATATAAAACAGGGACATAAATTTTATAAAGAATATTGGGTTGTCTGCGACATAACGGTAGATACATAGCATTCTTTAAATGTTTTCTTTAATAATATCGAACCTAATCCGTACACGGCAGAGTCATATGTAGATGCGTTTAAGGTCTACGGTGCGTCGTAGTAGACCGCTGTAGACTGTAGACGTTCACAAACTGGTATTCAAAAATTAACAAGAAAAATAACTTGCGCAAGGTGAATGAAAAAGCTTAAAGGTTACGCTTAAAATGCCGTCGCGAATGTTTTAAACACAACGCGATTCTCGTAACTCGTTAATTCAATCAAAACGATGTTAATCGTTCAAAATTCAATCGTAACACCTACATATAAGAACTAAAACAAACACATCGCCGACGGTACAAATTCATCATGAACTTTTAACGTTGCCCAAAACAATTAAAAACGACTGCGACGAAGATAATCAATAATGAATCTTAATGTAAGGTAATATGAATGTATTTAAGTTGTTGCGTGTTAAGTGGTGTATGTTAACCATCAGGCGAGGCCAGCAGCACAAGGTTAAGGCGATATAAAAAATCGCACGAGCTGATGAGACAATGCGCGGCGGCGGCGGCGGCGGCGCGGTGAGCTCCGAGTAGCGATCTTATCAGCACATAGTACAAATTGCAACTCCCACTGAGCTAGGGCTGGCAACTTACAAGAAACGAAAAACTCCGATCAATGAATGACTTATTTTTGACCCTTCATTCTTAGAGTATTAGAAAGCAAATTGATATTACGTAACGCGCGGAAAGCGCTGATATGCACCAAGAAAATCTAAGAAGTTCAAATAGACTCTAAAGAAATGACAGCCCTGCCTAAGCAAACATATTCAACTACTTTAATTATTGTTTTTTAGATAACACTATTTTCATATTACCAAATTATTTTCTTATCATAAATTGCAAACGCATTTTAAAAGTTTTTATATATGTAGTTAAGAGCAAAAAATTAAATATAAAATAATAGTAAGAAATTAAACTTATTTAAAGCAAAGTTAAGTTCACACGTGATGTAGTCACGTTTTGGCCGCGCACGTGAATTGGTCGTCTCAAACAGTTCAACAAGTTTAAAGGGGAATTACGTTTAGCTAACTTTGATTAAAGTTAGTTAAAGTGATTAAACTTGGTAACCAAATCTATATTTGGTCCTATTAAGTTACGCATTTTTGTCAAGAAAATGATTTTTTTTTTCGTACAAAAATTTGTACTTTGTACACACTTAGAACAAACACAAAGGTAGTAGCGTAATCATAGTATGAACTGTACGCTGTGACAATATCCCAATATTTAAAGTGATTAATGAACATTTATAGACACACAGTGAACAGTAAAGTCACAACAAAGCGATTTCACACTTCTTATTGGTAAACATAAAACGCGAATTCAATCCAAGCCCCTACTAGAGTTACGCTCGAAGAGACATCACTCGAAGTACCTGTTTATTTTAGATCGAGTTCTGTTACTAAGGTGACGGTTGTTCCGAGTTATATTTAGAATTAAGAGGCAGCATTTGAGTTTCTCCTCATAAAATATTTATGTATCGTAATATTATTAAAACTCAGAAACTTACAAATCAACACATTTGACTATACATATAGACTATTGGTACAACAAATTACTAGAAAAGTAACTAATTTACAAATTATCCAGTTTTAACAACTTTATAGAGTCAATCCAATTTCATTGTAATTCCGAATTTCTATCATGTTTATGAACAAAGTACGTATTCTGGAATTATTGGCAATGTATCAATTGATACAGACAATAAAAATTGGTAGAGAGTTGAAATAGAATCTAATTTGAAGAGATCAATCCGTACAAGACCGATGGTAGGGGCACAGTTGCAATGTCACATTGGCGTGTTTTTGCTCGATTGAAGTTTTTCAATGACAAGGTCAGTCGCAGCGTTTGTTTGAGCAAACTGTGAGGGACTGGACTCACGAGATATCGCACCGTGCATTTACTATAATCGTATTCAATATATATTTGGAATAAATAGATTGCGTGTAATTGCATGCGACATGATAAGGATTTGGAAGGAAATTTCAAATAATATATCGAACTAGAGAAAGAAATCACGGAAAAAGATGCGCGGACTTTACAAAGAGTAATGTTGGGGTTGTGATGATTCAAATGTGCATCAATAAACTGAGGAGACCGATGTTGTTGAATGCAAATTAATACTGAGTCTGTATTTTTTAACAACAAACAAAATTGAAAAACGCACTGAACATTCCTAAAAGTGGAACAGAAATGCGACATTGCATACAAATGTTATCCGAATCTATTTTTGAGTGAAATTTCTTAAGAACCTAAACCATCTCAAGTTCGTATCAAGATGTTTTTGAGAATATAAGTTGCATTTTTTTAATTTACCGAAATACCATTAAAATTTATCTTTGTTAGAGTAGAATTAGTATATGTATCTTTGAATTACGTAATATATTAAACCATTTTGATAAGCATCCATCAAATTAATTTCAAATAAATATTAACATTTGTAGAGCTTTTAGACAATCTCTGTTGTTTAACTATCGTGTCTATAAATAAAATAAAGAACTTTAGGTTACATTAGATTATGTATCCTTATGTATTTAATTTATTTAGTGTGTCTGCAGTACATCTGTGGTATGAATAAGGCTACGGTAATGTAGTAATAAATAAATTATTTCTGATTAATCTTTTATACATATGTTGTTTTATAAATTTGTTTAAGCACAATTTGCAAGTAGGTATAGTCATAAATAAACACGTCAAAGTTGATCAGTATAATTAAGTTGTTTGCAGTGACCCCTGCTGGCAGTTGTAGGACCTAGATATACGAATACGTTTGTATTTTAATATTTTCGCTTTGTATCATCGGTTTTATTTTTAATTAATATTTTTACTTTTTTACGTATTTAGATGTAAGCCTAAAGCACGTGTTTTTGTAGGTCATCTATGTGATTGGTTTAAATAAAGGCCGATAGATAGATATAGAAGATATCTGATCTGAATAAAAATTTTTTTAAAGTGATAAGGAAGATAAGTGTAAATTTTTCGCTCAAATAAACTTCCGACACGTCCGGTAGCGTGAGCCGTGACATCAGCGCCGGCGGCCGACACAATGGACACAGTTTGAACCTTAGCACAACAACCATTAAATAAATAGTTAATAAGCGGCCAAGACAAACGCACAATAGCGGCTTGCAATGCAAGTGCAACGTGACGCGCGGACACGATACATATTATGTACCAATGAACAGCCGACGCCGACGAGAACCAGGCAAACACTCCAGTCACGACAAAACTCTTTGCAGATGTTAAATGTAAGAGACTCACCTGAATTTTCCTAGCGAGTGGTCCTCCCACTTGATAATGGAGGGGCAGTATTTGGGATCGAGCAGCAGGTTTCTAAGGAACTCTGGTACGGAGACGCTGCGCGGGCGCTTGCACACCTTGCGGCCGCTGCCCTTGGGCCGGCCCGGCGGCCGCTTGAACTGCTTGCGCTTGTCTTCCTCGTCGCCGGACTTGCTGCCGTCGCTGCCGTACGAGTACTCCGGCGAAGCTGTATCCGAGGTGCGAAATACGTCGTCGTCGCTTGAGTCGCAGGGCGGGTGCAGCAGCGCCGCATCCGCCGCGCGGTAGTCGAGCGCGTACAGTCGGTTTTTGTGGTCCAGTGAGTCCAGGTCAAGCACCGTCTGCGCCGCCTCGGGGCCCGCGTACGCCTCGCCCTCCGCGCATCGGAACATCGCCGAGTGGCGCAGCATCTCCTCGTGGAGACGCGCCTGCAGCTTCTCGTAGATGACGTCCCCGATCCTACGGGAGACAGCGGCGTCGATGTTGAGGTGCGCCATCTTGTGCACAATGTCCTCGCGCTTTAGGCTGCGTAACTCGATGCCAGGAATCCTAAAGTTGCAGAAGGGGACGTCGTACTCGCAGAAGCCGAGGCCTTGCGTTGCGGCAGCCGCGTCCACGACCCATGAGAGCGTGTCGTCCTCGGTCCACTCGGATACACTCTTGTACTTCCACTCGTCGCGGTGGTAATCGCGCGAGTTGAGCAGGTTGTGGTAAACATTGGCGGCGGCGTCGACGTCGGGCTCGGCAAAGGCGTCGTAGTGGTTGTAGTAGGTACCGTACACGTAGGGGGTCGAGTTGCTCTTGCGGAACACCTGGAAGGCGTCGAGGCGCTCGGGCGCGGGTGGCGCGGGCGCGAGATAGAGATCGCACATGTTCTGTTCGTAGTGGCGCGCGTGGTCGAGCATGGCGGCAAACGTCGTGCGCGTCAGCCGGCGGTTCGCGACGGAATGGGCGCGCGGCGCGGCATCAGCTTATGAAATACGCGGCGACGACTGTTTGTTTACAAGTGCGCGGCGGCGCGGCGACGCGGCGAGCAGCGCTGTGCTGCGCTGTGCTGTGCTGTGTGCTGTGTGCTATGACAAGACGGTAATCGCCGAGCAGTAATCAGCTGTCACATTATTGCTCGTTGATTATCGCCAAGTGGCTCATAGATTTATCTGGTGCCAGTAGTCATGTTCTCATTACATAAATAATAAATAATTTATGCCGCAATGTTATTGGATAGAATATTTGCAAGTACTTAAAAAGAAACTATTTTTTTATTAATCTTGATCATGATAAATTTAGACATATATTAGTTTATTTTTTAAATTATACGTTTTTATAGAGGGTGCGACACTTGCTTGCATTTTGGTTATATTTTTGGAGTCAAATATCTTTTACACCTATTACTAGTGAACAATAACAAAAATAGCAATTACTATAGATCAATCGGCGGTCATTTTGACATCTTTATCATTACGTACTCGTAACTTAGTCGAGTAACAATTAATTTAGTAACTACAACGTCACTAAATAAAAAATATAGTAGAGTAGATTAGCAAATCACAGAAAATATTTCACCCACTAAATTCCTCTGTATTGGCCAAAATTACCAGTCTAGTGCGAACTAGGCATTAGCAAGTTTCCTCGCTTCGCCATACTTCCTTATCCTAACCTAAGACAAGATATGAATATTGCCTGTGTCATTGACGTGACGCCGCCGCCGCGGGGATAGACGCTACACTGTCTACTTTCGTGCGGGAAACTTAAATATTAACAGCTTAAATAAAACAACCAGCTGCAGTGGGCCACCGTTGACTAGACTCTAGTCACCCCTAACTGAGGATAGACTCCGAGCTCATCGGTAGTCATACGAGGTGACTCTACAAAGTTTTTCAATTATTTTGTAAACGCATTTTCAGTAATATGCGATAGATTTGTACAAAGCGGGGTAGGCTCAATGACCGATGACCTTTATATTCACAATCATAAGATATAACAACATTAAAGATGTCTTTTGAAACGAAGTTTTCAATATCTGATCATTTCTATGGCTTGTTATATGCACTTCGCCAACGAACATCAGCAAGCATCGTTAATAGCAATCTTGTATGAGAAGAATCAAACCGTGTCCTGTAATTGGACACAGCGGGACAGTACTGCAAGAAGTAAGACTCGGTTACCTCTTACATGAACGTTCTGTTTAAAGTATTGTCTGTGATGTTGTACAAGCATTAGTTAAAGCAGTGGCCTGTAAAAGCCACAATTAGAGCTATGGCTATATCACCTTAAATAGTCTACGTGTAATTAATATAAATGACGCCTATTTTGATGGGGAAATTGAAAGTAGAGTTTGCAAAATAAAGGTTTAATTAGCTAATAAAAGGAAAATACATAATTATTAAACAATTGTTACAATTTAACAAAACCCATAACATTTAATTTAATATGTTTATTTTATTATTATCCTTTTTACATTTGTTTTACCAGATATAATGTAAAAAGTTTTTACGGTTCATTTTATTTATATTATGTATTATAGAAGAATGAACCTAATAAAAAACACAAAACAAAATTAATAAAGTTCATAAAGTTCTAATATATAATTAAAATACAAATACATGGATTATTCCAGACTAAATTTACACAACAGGTGGTCGGATAAGAGCAGGAAAACTGGTAGATAGCGCGAGCTTTAGCGGTAATAATAAATAATAATTACCTTCATTGTGATCTGAACGAATTACTGACATATCCATGAAGGTTTTCATTTTGGAAACTTTTTTATGAACGTGAGGTAATGTTTAATGCATACTCATATATACTGGGCAGACTACTATCTATGTGTCTGAGTTCCTGATAACGTAGGAACGGGG